ATATATATATAATTCACAAAAGTCTAGTCACATTTTAATCAGTTGGTTTTTATGTAAAATGGTTATGCATGACTAGTTGAATTTCAACCACAGAGCAGTAAGGCGGCTTCTATAACCTTAGGCTTTTATCAGAGTTAGAAGATGTGGACTCCAACATTTGTCAAGAGCTTTATTCTTCAGTTTTACATCTGTATTTACATTCTAATGAAGAAATGCTATCTTAAAAATGAAATCCAAAAAAAAAAAAAGATATTGAAAAAGTGACCACTTTATTTAAAAAAGGCTTCAAACAGGTGATTAAGAAATACAAATCAATAAAGCATATACAGCATTTCCGAAATTCTCTTTACCACCACTGATGGTCAGCTTGTGAACTCTCACACCTTTATAAAACTAAAAAAAAATAAAAAATAAAAAAAAAATAAAACACAATATAAATACAATTTCACTCAAAAATCTGCAGCAGTGGAATACTGTAAGCCAGTGAATGAGCCACATCAGTAAAACTGCAAATTAGAAACAAATCTATATTACCTGCTTAATCTGAGCTTACACGGTGGAAATAAAATGTCTATCATAACATACAAATGAGGTGTAAAATAGGCTTGAGAAAAAGGTGACTAAAGAGCGTTGACAGTTAAAGCTGTACACAATATCCGGTTATTAAACWCTCAAAAATACTTTCAACATTTCCTTTGCACAGTGTGGATACATTTAGTCTTTCCAAACAGACTTAAAGACAGAAAAAAAAAAGTTGTGTCTGAAAATTATCTTCAAAAGAAAAAAAAAAAACTATTTAAAGTAAATTCCGAACAGCTTGATCCGCTTGACTATCAGATTTAAAGATGGACATTTTTCATCTTCGTTCGCATTTCTCTGCAGATTTAAAAAATGTCCTTTAACAAAAAAAATAAAATAAAATAAACATTCAGGAAAGAACCAATGAAGTTGTTTCATTCAGTGGGACAAATACAGAATTTGTATCCAGCCCCTATACAGTATTCATCAGCATGGAGTTTTCCCATCTATAGTTCAAGATGAACGCTTACAGAAGATACAGAACTTAAAACTAGACAGCAGGTCAGTGGCAGAATCAAACCTCCATATCAAGCTTATATAATTATTTTTTAAAATCCYTAAGGTTGTTCTCCAGTCCACTGCTTAAGATCAGGATGGCAACAACAGGGGAGGACGTGAGGAAAGGAGATATCTCTGATGTATTTTAATGAGGCTGAAGATGTAGACAGCTGGTTTCTGAGGCGCTTCAGTTCAGAGACCAGCACTCAAGTGGTCCCTAAACAAACAGAAGGGGGAGTAGAACAACATTACAGAGTCTACAACTTTTGCTGATGCATCTGGACAGAAATAAAAAAGGTAGGAAAAAAAGGCAGGCCAGAAATGGCTTCAGTGCAAACCTAAGAGGGGCATCAGTGCAGTGATTGTGGAAATGACCCTAACCATCATGCTCCTTTCCTCCCCTCTCACTGAAGCGGCCTCCTGCTGCTGACCTCCAGCTCCACGCTCGACAGGAAGCGCCTGCACAGCCGGTGGGAGTCGTAGCTCAGCTCCGTCACGTAAACCTCGCTGGTTTTCTTGGGGTAGGTGATGGCCGTGCTCCCGAAGCTGTGGGGGCGGAGGCGTGGCTCCAGGTCCAGTTGAGTCTTGTAGCGGCGCCAGGTGCTGTGGGGCAAAGCCACGATCGTCTGCCTGCAGTGCTCGAGGCCACGGCCCAGCGGCTGCAGATCCACATTCTGGATGAAGTGACGGTTGGAGTCGTAGAGCACGAACGACGTGTATCTGTGTAGGGAGCGCACTCGTGACTTGCAGCTACATTCTATCCAAACCTTATTTGATACTTTGTTGTAATCATCTCCAACTCACCTGAGTTCCTTAGATGGGAGYGGATTGAGAGCAATGCCTTCTCCAAAGGACAGCGGCTGTAGCTGTGGTAAACTCGCAGCTGGTACAACTGAAATCTGAAGTACATAAACAATGTAAGTACTGTGCAAAAAGCACAAGCTACTAATTTGTTTAGATTCATCATCCAAGGAGCCAGAGTTTCTTGTACTCTTTTTAAAAGTGGTCTTGACGAATAGTTTAGACTTTGAGGATCTCAAATGTTTTCTACAAACTTTGCATTTTGACTCATTTTAAGCCCGGTACCTGAACATTTACAACATTTTAAGCCACTTAACTACAAATGATTCAAAGGCAACAACTAGTATTACTTGAAGGACTGCGTTACCACCTGCTGCCTTACAGGCCAAAGACTTAATCAGCACTCCACATGCTTTAGGGATGACTTTCAGATACTATTAGGGGTGTAAATCATCACTTTATCRTACAATAAAATTGATTTGTTTGGATGATAATATTTGGAATAAAAAAAGTTTGTCATGATACAATTGGTTCAACTAAGTCTGATCAATATGAGATTATGTGCCTAGCAATTTAGATAGAAAAGATAAATCTACATCATGTATTTGTTGATTATAGGTTTTGCCTTGATGCAATTTAAAAATCAGCCAAAAAAATTAGTCATTTAATCAATATACAGCGTTACACCTCCTGCTACAACCTCAAAAGATTTGAGCTCAGTATCTGCAACCCTAAAAGCATTGTAGACATTGTTAGATAAGGCTGATTGGCTGAACTGTGAAGAACTTGTCATTTTTTTATTGTTTTTATGTGCTATATAAATAGTCATTGGTTGTGACTACCATCTTGAACAAAGCTACAAAAGTAAGCTGTCAGAGTCAGTGATTAGTTTAAGAGTTTCATTTAAAAGTCAGTGGTTTGTGGAGTATATGTTGCCAGCTGACAAATGAACCCATGCAACAACAKGATTGTCCTGATTAAAGAGAAAAACAAAACCAAAAACAAAAGGCTAAAATGGGATGAGCCAGTGTTACTTTCATCCTAAAAGAAAATTTAATAAACAATTTCTTGGTGTTTTTTTTTAAAGGCATTTATCTACAAACAGCATGTCAAAATCTGTCAGTGATCAACTGAAGGAGGGTTTTTCAGAAGTCTCATTTCTGGTTCTTGATGCATTTGTTTTTTTTTTTTTTTTTTTTTAAGGTTTGACACTTGTTCTCAACTTGTCCACTTACATCGATCTGATTAATTGATTGATTGATTGAATAATTACACATACTGCACGATATGCTGTAATAAAACGAGTGAAAAAGCAGCCAAAGCAGTCCAAAGAAAACACATTAGACTTTCAGAAGGTCTGAAGAACTCAACACCATTTCTTAAAAAGTTATTTTGAAAATAAAGCAAACGTTTGCACATTGCATTAATTTAAAATCAGCTGCGCATGCACTTTAACAGCTTAGTGAGTTGTTAAACAAGTTTGAAAGCAGTAAAACCCGGTGCAGCTCACCTGGGAACCCCTTCCTTCGTCCTCGGGCACCGGGCTCACACCGCCGGGTTTCTCCACGCTCGCAGGCTGCAGCCAGGCGCTGGGGCTCGGACTCGGAGGTAAGCCAGAGTCCGGGCTGTCCAGTCCTCTCTCAGCCCTGCTGCTGCAGCTCATACCCAAAGGGTCTCCTTCGCAAACATTTGGCAAGTTCAAACTGCCGACCATCTCTTGTTAAAAACAACAACAACAACAAAAAAAAAAAAATTGCAAAAGTCCAGCAGGTTTTGAAAGCAGAGCGTACCGTTCCTGTTGTTGTGAAGTTCCTCGTGTTACAGCAAGCTGTGGGAAATATCAACCTGGATGGAGGTATGTATTGCAGGTCCCCGAACACGGTTACACACTGCCGTCCTGCTCACCAGGACTTCCAGGTTTGAAACAGAACCAACASCCGTACAATGAGCTCCTGCAGCAACCCGCCGCTCCTCTTCAAACCTCCTCCCCCTCAAAGACGACCTTTCACAGCCACAAACACAGGAAAGGAAACGCCTTTCCAAGCACTTCACCGGCTCCTGATTGGTTGGGAGATAATTGGCAACTCGAAGCAAGGCCAAAAACAATTGGAACTTTTCCAGAAAGTTCTCCAAATTGAACTCCTCCTGGTATCTTTTTTCCTGCCATTGTGTTCAACAAGGAAACCAACACGCACTCCTTTTAGACTGAGCACAGAGGGAGGAAAATGTGTGGAAATGCCTGTGAAGGTGCTGCCCTCGGAGTGTACAACTCAGACAACAAATTGATAACACTTGGCACCTGATGGCACAGATGTTGTTCACTAATAAAGGCTTTTATTGGATTCACAAGGGCTTGGAAAATGAGAGGCACTGAAATGAGAATAAATGAGGCCAGCTGGTGAACAGACCAATATGATCTCCTAAGAGGCTGCAATATTTAATATTACTGATTGACTTAGAGAGCACCTGGCAAAGCTGAAACTCCTGTGAACATATTCTGTCAAACTTACAGAAGTTTGAATTTTGCCTCTTAGACACATAATATTTAAAATATTTACTCAAGTGTGATTAAGTAAGAAGATGTAAGAGTACACACGTAGTCAGAAGAAAGTGTTTTCACTATAAAAGTATGTTACCTTCACTTGTTGTGAAAATACACTATCAAAAATAAAATCGACTTTGCATCATAGCCTATCTAAACGCCTTGAAACTGGCCTCTGTCTCTTTAAGAACCTTCCACCGTTTCCGACATTCCCACTTCAGCATGTCTTCACAATGCTTCAGGGGAGGGGTGCTCTGTATGGTGGGAGCTCGGCTGCAGACTGAGCTCCAGGGAGGAGCTTTGTACAAATAGGCGGTGCTTTGTACCAGCAAGCATTTCGGCAGCTCCACATGGCTACCACAGGACATTCAAAGATTTCTTAAACATGTATGAATGAGTCAAAGCAACAGTCTGGATATGTTTTTTTTTAATGAGGGAATGTATTTATAACATGATACAAAGCTCCAAAAATCTGATTTAGCATAAAATCCCCTTCAAGTTGTTTTAAGTTGGTGGTTTACTTTTGCTCCACACAGACTAGCTGTTGTTCTAGTCAGAATGTCATTTCCCATAACTGAGTCAGTTGAAAGAGCCATATATAACAGGTAAGATGTTAATTGTTCACAACCTTTCCTCTGAACCCCACTTCAAATAATGTGACATTAGGGCAAAGAGACACCATATTCTGTATATTTTATTCAGAAACAGTAACTTTGAATGAATTAATCATCAAGGATTAAATAGGAGAGAGTGAACAGAATTTAATTAACAAGACTTCTGAGAGCTCAGACTTTAGTGTCACAAAACGTACAATGGGACATTTCAGTTACATATGTACAATATGAACTAAACTGTTGAGGAAGTTTCTTCATRGTCCAACCTYGGCTTTATTTTRCTATCAGTGAGACAATTCAGTYAACTTTYCCCTCTCAGTAGTCCTCCAGTGTAACTGACTGAAGCGTAACGGAGTCTTTGAAATAAATAAAATCGAGCCAACCTGAAGGCAACAACAGCAGCTGCTGGAAATCTGGATCCAATCACAGTCTCTTCTTGATGAGTTTTTCTAGTTTTCGGATCCGAGAGGACTCCTGCTCGGGGGTGGGGGTGCTGAAGGACAGAGAGGGTCCGCCGTCGGCACCTGAGGGTGGGGTGGGCAATCTCTGCCTGAAGAGGTCCAACATGCTGCTTTGTTCACTGCGTTTCAGACCCTGCCCATCAACACACACAACGCAGAAAACAATAATAAAGAATGTTCGTTGGAGCTCAGCATCTATTTATTTTATTTATCCATCCATTTAAAAACAAAAGAAAATCTATGTGCAATAAAAAAAAAACAAGTCATAAATGACATGAAAGGAAGCAGAAAGAACAAAAGATCTAAATTTCGATACAACAGTTCACCTTTAATTTGAAAAGAAGAATCAAAGTTAGAAGTTGTCAGCCGGTTAGCTTAGCATAAAGATGGAAATCAGAAGGAAATGCCTAACCTCGCTTTGACCAAAGGTAACATTTTAACTGCCAAGAGGCAACTACACATCCTTTTATTGTTTTCAAACAAAAATTAAGGTAGAAAATTACACAACTATTAGTTTTAGGTGGGATTGTATTTATGATCTACCTTCTCCACAGTAAAAGAAAACAAAACATACTGACCTTCATATCCAGAATCTTCTGGAAAGTCTCTGGATTGCCGTCAGCCAGGAGTTTGATGTAGTTATCCACAAACACTACTGGTGGTTCGTGTGGGGCCATCACCACCTGCAGAAAAGTTTAGAGTTTAATGTGGTTTCAACCCCAAACCCTGAAAAAAAAAAAAAATCACCATTTCCTTATGAACCATTATGGGTCTGCCCCAAGAGATCTTTAAACAATCCCACATGGGCCAGCCATRGCTCAGATCAGGGACAGGGGGGCGACTACAGCTGACAGAACCAAGCAGGAGAAAAAAAAAAGCAGTCAAAGTTCTGATTCTGTTTAAAAATGTGACCCTGGAGCTTTCCTCCTTTCATATGGCAATTATATCATGCTCAAGTAGGCAAGAATTAGTTTCCCTGCTAATTATTTTTAGGGTGGCAAAATGAGTTTGAATTAAAAAAGAAAACAATCAGCATGAATTAAGTCTAATGAGGCACCGGCTTTTTCCAAGACTGAAAACTCTTGGCTGATTTTTCTTCCATTACTAGAAATTTAGGAAAACAAAGATGGGACAATGCTGCTCGGTAAGAAAAATAAATTATTTAATTGCTCTTTTCGCTTTACTTTTTTTGTTGTTTTTAGTTTTTGTGCTCAGAGTGAAATGCATAAGACGAGTGGAGGAATCACCACAGGCTAGCCAGCGTAGGAAGTACAGGAATGATTGGCTCGAGATTCGTTGGAATTCTTTTGCTTCCTTACAAGCCTTGCTTACAGAGTGATTTACTTAGCAACTGTCCTGGAGCCAGGCCAAGGGAAAAGCCCGTGGGGGCTGTAAAAAAAAGGAAGAAAAAAAAAGCAAGGGAATGACAGGGGTAGAGTAGGTTAAGAGTGAAAACAGCATTAAACTGGTAAATGAGAAGTGAGGAAAGGCAGAAAGATTTAGGCGGAACAAGGGTGGGGATGGGGGCTGCCTTTGAAATATTCCCCAGAAGAAAAACTTCAGAGGACCGAGGGAAAGCTGGAGCTATGGTGGGCTGGGCTGACAGAGTGTGGAAAACAGCCACGTCTCACAGGCATTGTGCAGACCAGGAGAGGCCATCTCGAACAGACACAAAGAGTCTTGTGTACTTCCAACAGAACGGAGGGCTGGCTCCCAAAACAAGGAGCCCAAATATATTCGTATGTAACTGAGTAGAGATACTCTGACAGAAAATTTTAATAGAAGATGTATTTATTTCCAACTAGTAGTTACCTAATGTTCTAAACTAAAACTATACTTAGCACAGAAAGTAATTATATTTGTGTTTGAGTTGTTCCAAAGACAGATAGATTTGTTCAAGTTGAAGGGGCACACTAGTAGTCATATATATATATGACAATATTTATTTTTATTATTTATGAGTGAAAACTTGCAGAATGCTAAAAAATAATCAAAAATCAAATATGAAAAGGGGAAATACAGTAGCTTGAAACGTTAGTGTCTTACTGTTTGTAACTTGTTAGTTAATGGCGTTAGTGAGGAAATTTCCAAAGTTTGCAAACGTTCTCAATTTCCTCCTGAGTCTTATAAGTTCACCCTGCAGAGCCTAATGCTCAATTCCAATTGTTTGCTTTGATTAGATTTTTATTTATTTAATTTTTTTGCGTGGCTGTTCACTTTGTAATGTAAACACCACATCCACCAGACCAGCGTGAATCATTGTTTGAGAAACATCGGATATGTCTCCACTTAAAGACCTGGATCGAATCTGTCACTTTCAGACAAGTCAAACATTTGTGCTGCAAATTTTATTTCAAACTTTTTATACAAATTTTTTTATTCCAGAAGGCTAGAGTTGTATTTTTAACACTTTTTATTCTTATAAGTTTAAGTTATTCTTCAACAGTTGCAGCCCAGATATTGGCTTTAGATTGTCAGTGCTTGAGACAGTAACAATGGGCCTCATGCAAGAACCGTTCGAACACACAGATTTGCTCTTAAATTGTGCGTACGAGTGATTTAGGAGAATTTGTGACATTCACCAATGTTTTCGTATTCTAAGATTTTTTTCAGATACGAACAAAATTCACGAGTGGTCCAGACCTGTTGTATATTTTACGAGCAGTCAGTCTGCTGTTATCCAGACGGGTTTTCCTCCCTCATTACTTTATATTTTGTTAGTTTGAAGATATTTTGAGTTGAAAATAAATTACACTCCATAAATATGTTGACAATAGACTATTCTGCTTGAATTAGAGTTATAATTTTAAATGTAATAATTTAGACTAACAATATAAATTGTCCGTCCGGCCGGCCTATCCGGGATCTGGGTCACGGGGGCAGCAGCAGAGAGACCCAGACTTCCCTCTTCCCAGCGACACCTTCCAGCTCGTCCTGGGGGACTTCGAGACATTCCCAGGCCAGAGGGGATACATAATCCCTCCAGTGAGTCCTGGATTTTCTCCAAAGTGCCAGACTTATTTTGAAAACATTTTAAAATGCTTATTTCAGAACCGCGACTGAGACCACTTGAGACTGCGTGCGGGGGTGGTGGTGGGGGGCGTACGGTGCGCGACGGTGTGTCTTCTGAATAAATGAAAATGATTTAACACAGTTGTTTATACTTTTAGCAGCTCTTTTTATTCCACAGCTGACCTGCTAAAAATGACAGATTTTCTTTTCTGGATCTCTGACAGACGGACTTCAATCTCTGAACTCGTAAAGTTTTTCTTTTTAGTTTTCACTGTCATTTTTCATGAATGGACACTTCCTGATATCTGAGGTAGGAAACAGAGCCTTATATGGTGTTTTGGGGTGGTAATTATGCTAATCYCCTCTCGCGTGCACG